CAACTGCCTGCAGCCAACCCTCACTTTTCACATTTTTCTGAATTTTTATGTGCAACTTTTAACCATCGGATGGATTTACTGCAGCCAGAAATTTCTTCTAGATCAGCAATTTTCGGGCACAATTCGGAAAAAGTATTTAATACAGATTTTGTAGAAAAAAATGTGAAAAGTCGCGCCTCAAGTCTTTCTTTCAGCCCAAAAAATTGATATAAAGAGTTGCTATAGAAACATTTTTAGGTCTTTAAAAGATATCCGCATCCGGCGGTCGGCGGCTTCAGGAAAATTCAGTTTGGTGCTAAAATTTATCATTTCTACCAGACGAGCAAAATTTAACAGAAAATGGAGGCGAAGGATTTTTTCCCTTAAAATATTCTGTCCACCTGCGCAAGCCTTCAGCTCAAAAAGATTCAGTTAGCACCGAAGTATATAAGTAGAAAAAGATGTTACATTATTATTATTACAAAACAGTATTTTATTTGAAAATTATAAAACACAAATCGAGAAAAATAATTCCAACAAATTTAACAGTTTAGAATTTAATGGTTTACGTTTTTATTTTTGAAATTCGCCACTTGGATAATATAAGTACATAGATAATTGTGATATGTAAGGACAAACATATTTGTTCCTGTTGGGGTTTTCATTAGGGCGAGCTTTAACGTATTCAGCAATTCGGTTCCGATTCAAACGCAGTTGCCTGTGTCACCTGCGTACCTGGAATAAAATAAAAGAAAAAGAAAGTTGAAAGAGCTTATTTTCAAGCACAGAGTTAAAATGTGAAGGCATAATAACACAGGCCAACAAAATTTAGTTTTTTTTTGGAAGCAGAAACACCAATAAATATTTTCGAAGGCTTTTGGTGCGATGAATACGAAACTGGCCGTAGAATAGTTATATCACGTCAGGTTTTTGAGCTATCCTAAACTAGATGTGCAAAAACACTGCCTTTCGTCATATTGGGGGTATGTATGTATCATCGTAAATATTTTTTTTTTACTGAAAACTAGTCAAAGTATCATAAAACACAAATCTTCCCCTTTCGAATGCCGTTGAGTGTGATATATGTAATATCTTTTTTTTTGTCGAGATATCGCAGTCTGTCAAAAACGTGTCGTACAAAGGGTTAATGGATTTTCGAATATGTATACATATGTACTGTAATTCATAAATATTAAAATTTCAAACTTTGAACTCTTAGGTTAGGATATCTGAAAAATCTGATGCCAAATTCGGATTCAACGCAGGAAAATCCTTCGGTAATATATGTTAGTTAGTTTATGCTTCTCGACCCTTGTTCGCCTGCTTAATTTTAGATTTATGGTAACGCCTATTGCTTTACGAAATGTGTCTGTGAATAAGTCACAAAAGGATCGAGACCAATGTGAGTTTCTAAAGCGTTTTCAACGGTTCAACGACTGACTTTTGCGTTCAAAGATACTACATATGTGGCGTTCCATACCAAAATGGACGGGGTTCACACTTCATGTGTTTGATTTGTTTCAAATTTTTAGGGTTGATGGATAAACACAAATAATGAATAAATATGAAACTTGAGCTTGATTAATACATTTTTAAAAACTTCACAGCACAAAAACAAAAACAAATCGATTTAATAGTTTTCCAAATATTTCGAAAACGAGGCGAAGAAAAAATTTGAAAAAATTACACATACACACATCAAAATTCTCATGCAAAAGAAATATTTTTTAAATTTTTTTCCTTCAAAAACTTTTCACATACAATTTTTTTTTTGTAAGAAAGTTTAGGTTTTGAAAATAAGCCATCTCAAAAAAAATAAAAAATTAAACCGAAGTTGAGAAAATTGAGTACATTAGAAATTTACAAATTTTTTAATTTTTTTTTAGATTTTTTTTTGAGTATGCAGTTGTGCAGCCCATTAAATTTTAGTATAATAAAGCGCACGTTTTACTGCAAATTGCGTTCATTTTTATTGTAGAGTGCACCTCATAATACTATACTTAAATATTGCGTAATGCCATTATGATTTTTTTCAATTTTTTATTGAGGTGGCATGTTTTCAAAAAAATTTGTATGTGAAAAATTTTTCCAGAAAAAATTTTTTTTAAATATTTTTCATAGAGAATTTGTGTGTGTGTATGTGTGATTTTTTTTAATTGTTTCCTCGCTCCATTCTCAAGATATTTGGAAAACTATTAAATCGATTTGTTTTTGTAAAATTTTTAAAAATGTATTAATCAAGCTCAAATTTCATATTTACTTATTATTTATGTTTATACATCAACCCTAAAAATTTGAAACAAATTAAAGCCCCATATATGTATATAAATATAAATTTAACCAGCGTAAGTTTTGTGCGTAGAGATTTATGTATACACATACATATATATGTATGTTTGCAACGTGGGCTCAGTATGTCTAAAATTTCCAATAATACATTTCCGCTGGCTATAAATATACACACATTTTTGTAGATGCATCTATTGTGTGTTAAATTTATTTACTCGTAGTTTCTGCTAAATGTTTATGTGATGAAATCACTCCACAAATCCTAGGAAATCGTGATTTTTTTCATACCTTTTGTCTTCAAAATGTTTATAGTATTAACACTCGAGAAACGAGCCTTTGATAAACTAGTTTTGAGGTTAAAAAGAAATTAAAGAAATATAGTGAACGAAAAAATGTATAACCTTTCAAAACTTTTAATTACGCAGTGAGTTGGACACAGGCGGTTACAGCGCCAAATAAGAAGAAGAAAAACCCACAACCCTAACGGCGTCGTCCCTATGGACTGACCCCATAGAGGCTGCACGCTTCTTGGGGCTGCCGTTAGTGGAACTCGACGACAACGACTGAGATATCAGCCGATCTGGGCGGGGTTGTTGTAGCCGCTAAAACAACAACAACAAGAAGAAAAAGAATTGAACACTGGTCACTAAAAGCATAAACAGACGGCAGCGTTGATCCGGATCAACTCGGGAATTAACTGCAGTTGATCCGAATTAAGGCCGAGTTAATCCGGATCAACGCTGCCGTCTGAATAAGCATTTAGTCTCTAATAACTAGATTACATACGGAATTTTACGGGCTTTGTGTTTCACAGCTGCCTTAATGCAAGTACGAGTACGAACTTGTTAAAGTTTATCCCCGTTATTTCTTGTCACCCTGTAAAAATGTTCAAGGCATCCATAGTTAAGAGCCAGTATCCTCATGATATTAAGGTTCGTTTTGACAGTGACGGATTAACTCTCAATCGAAGTAAACTAAAGATTTTCAGTACAAAATGTGAAAGTTAACTGCCGAATGTAAGTTAACTCTTCATTGTGAATATGGCCCTAAGTTTTCGTTTTTATGTTAAATGTTTGAATGGTGAACCGCCAAGAGTTCCTCTGCTCTTCAAAATTTCGAAACATTATTAGAAAATTCGTCATTTAAGAGCGTAGATTTAATCAGTTCCATTAGATGGACAATTTTGTGCAACATATAAATTTACCATTTATGCTTATTATAAAAAATAGTTACCCTTACCCCTTACCTCTTCGGAATAAAATTATTTCTTCTAAGAAAGATAATTTATTTTATTTTTATCCTTTTCTTTTCTAGATGATGAAGACCTCACAACAACAGCGGCAGCGGCCGATGATGCGGATAGACGAATCATTTTCTTGAATCGACCGCAAATACAGAAATTTTGCAACAATCACATATCAACTGCGAAATATAGGTGAGTTGGAAGAAATACGGCAAACAGAAGAATTTTTTAATAATTTTGTTGTCACTCAGCATACCAATTCTGGATTTTAAATTCCTTTTTTCTGAGTTAGATTAAAATTCATCTGGGGCCGGCATTACGTCACACATTGAACAGTTGGCCCCTTCGTTTAAAATACCTCACAGGAAAATCCTGGAAGCTAGCTTTCAACTCAAGCTTTTGTCTTTCGAAATACAATTGCCAATTCTGACAACTATCTTTTAAGCTCGTTACTGTCCTCCGAAAGACTTATTGAAAGATCTGCTAACGAGGAGGTCTCAGCGTTATGCTGTTCGCCTTTTAGCAATTACTTAAAACAATTTTATTAAATTAAAAACTATGCTTTTGTTTCTTTTTAAAATTGTAAAAGAAAAAAATATAAAAAAATAAAACGAAAATAAATAAAAATATTTTAAAAATAAAATGAAATGAAAAAACATATATTTTTCATTTTAAAACAATAAAATCTTAAAACTAAAAGAAAACTAAATTAAAATGAAAAAAATTAAATAAAAAAAGAGGAAAAGAGTACCTACTTCAAAATTTAGTCAAGTTAAAAAAATGTTTTTATTTTTAAACCCAAATGAAAAATTACGAGAAAATAACATTAAAAAACCAAAAAACGAAAATAAGTATGATCCTAGAAATTAAATCATATATAAAGTATATATTTTTCTTTTAAAACTATAACATGTTAAACCAAAAAGAAAATTAAGTAAAAAAAAACTGTGACATTTATAAAAATATGTATAATGAAATTTAAAAAAATAGTTTTCTTTTTAGACATTCTAATCTTAAAAAGTAAAATAAAATAAGTTTCTAAAAATTAATTGAAATTAAAAAATACTACTAATATTAAAAGAAAATTAAAAATTAAAAAAGTAAAAATGTGTACTAGAACAACAAAAGCCTTTCGAACTATCTTGCCAACAATCTTGTCTTACGAAAGACTTTTTATGCAGCATAAAAAAGTTAAATTTGTTCCTCTGTAAAATTAAACTATTTTTGTTAAGAACAAAAGCAACCTACATAGCCCACATACGTAATGACAAAGAAAACTACGTCATAAGCGGCACATTTTTCGTTTAAAATAACTTTTAATTTCACGAACAGCCCCCTGTGCCCGAGTCGTCATCATTATTCTAAAAACTAATACTTTATAAACAACTGCCCATGAACTTGTTTGAACTTCCTGTGCGTAGGCTTAGAGTATTTTTAATAGGTAAAACTCGTACTCGTGACCACTGGCGTGCTACATGTCGTATGAGCAACTAAATAGCTTTTGCTGCGTGGATAAAAACCCTTCACGTATCAATATTTAAATATGTGTACGTTTTTTAATTATGTAGGAATTTGTTTACTATTGCCTATGGAGCTAGGTGCTTTCGCAATAATTTTATTTGTTATTTTACAACGCTCTTTTTATATTAACTCTTTATATTAACCTATCTACCATTAGCTAACTTTTTCCCCTTCTCTCTGCTCTTTACAGTTTTATAAGCTTTTTACCATCGTTCCTTTTTGAACAATTTAGACGTTATTCGAATTGTTTTTTCCTATTAATTGCATTATTACAACAAATTCCTGATGTATCGCCGACGGGTCGCTATACAACACTGGTACCATTAATATTTATTTTATCGGTGAGCGGCATTAAAGAGATAGTCGAGGACATTGTAAGTATACATACATGCATATTTAGTTATGTATATAAAAATTGGAATTAAAATTGCCATGCTAACGAATTTAAATTCCTAATTTGCACTTCTAGAAACGTCATCGTGCGGATAATGAAATTAATCATCGTATGGTGGAAGTCTTACGTGATGGCAGTTGGACCTCGGTACGATGGCGTGATATCGGTGTGGGTGATATTGTAAAAATACCAAATAATATGTTCTTTCCCGCTGATATACTTTTGCTGTCATCGAGGTGAATATTTGAGTATTTTCAGTTGTCTAAAGAACTGTGTATTTTTATGAAATACTCCATATGGATGGTCGAACATTGTAAACTCATAACTGAACATTTTTCAATGATTGTAAATTTTATTACTGACCACGATGTCAGTTATGAGTTGTCAGTGTTTCATGAATTGCCTCCGCTCACTTTGACTAAGTGTGAGATCAGGCAGAAAACTTGCTATGTGCAGTAAGGAGTTGTTAAGCTTCTCTTTGATACATTTTTCGCAGTAGCCATTATCAACGATGAGCCTCCGGAAGGCCAAGAAGGAACGAGAGTTGCGCTGCCCTTTCTGACCCACCTGAGAATATTCATCTGACATAGATATTGAATTCGTTCAAACCCTTCTATTTCTTATTACCGAACCGCATCTTTTTTGCGCAGCTGCAAAGGTCTGTGAAAGTATCCTATATACGCTAATTATCTACGTGAGGGGTGGGTATATTCCCAGAGCTTGGAGAGTCGTCAGGATGGCATTTAACCTGAAGGCACGAAACAGCCCCCATGCGTTACATAAGGACTTCAAACCAATCAGTCTGAGTAATAATATTTGATAGCCCAGCAGCTATTAGTACCTCACAAACTGAGCTCACTCCCTTTTAAGTACTTAGTGGTATTGTAAGACTGACGAGTTTGGAGAGAAAGCGTACATTTCAAATGATGTCGTCGGACCGAGAGTGGTATGGGTTTAATGTCAGCTCAGCGAAAGCTGGCGAAAACTACAACCTGGTCCTTCCGACCCAAGGGGAATCGAGGAGCTTCTTAAGCTTGCCAAGTAGAAGCTCTCGCTTTTAGTAGGGGTTCGGATCGATGAGACTAAAATTCACTTCGGAAAGCGTCGCAACAATTTCTACTAAAAACTTATCGATAAATCCGGGAAAAGAAAACGATAGTAATATCATTGATTATATAGTATCGATAATGGTCGGTATAAGTCGAAATATCAATAAATACGTCGATAAAATATCGAAAAATATCGTAAAAGTTCTATACAGAAAGTTTTGACTAATTAAGCCCATTCAAAGCACTATAAAAGTATCGATAAATATGGGTTAATAAAACGAAAAATAGTTGATTGAAAGTATTGAAAGTATACTTGGTCAAAATTTCAATAAAAAAATCGATAACAAGATCGTTAAAATATCGCAAAATGTATCAAACGATATCAATGTTGCACGTTTTTTGCCAAATCAAAACAGCTGAACTTTCCTATTTTATGATCAATACTTATTACACTGAGAAAAGAATTTAGGCATGATTTGGTAATACACAAATAATTGCATTATTTGGTTATAGTTACCAAACCATGTCTTGAGAGAAATATATTTAGGTGACCGTTTTCTTAGTGTGATCATAAAGATTTTACGAAAATTCTAATAATCAATTTTCCCCCATTTACAGTGAACCTCAGGCAATGTGTTTCATAGAAACTGCAAATTTGGATGGTGAAACAAATTTGAAAATACGTCAGGGAGCAACAGCAACAGCAAAATGTCTGGAAACCAAAGATCTGCTACAGTTGGACGGCACCGTCGAATGTGAGTTGCCAAATCGACATTTATACGAATTCAATGGTGTGCTCAAAGGGGAAAATAAACCGTAAGTGTTTAATAACAATAGAAAATTTATTACTTAAATATCTCCTTTTCTGTTATTCTACTTCAGCACCGTTGCTCTCGGCCCCGATCAGATATTGCAACGCGGCGCCGTTTTACGCAACACCGCTTGGATATTCGGTGTCGTCATCTATACCGGACACGATACGAAACTTATGAAAAACTCTACCTCAGCACCGTTAAAACGTTCAACCGTGGACACTGTGACGAACACACAAATATTAATGTTGTTCGTTATTTTGGTTGTTTTGTCATTGACCAGTGCGATATTGAACTTTTTTTGGACGCGCGATAATGCGAACATGTTTTGGTATTTGGGCATAAATGGTGAGTTCCCAGGATGCATTTTTAATATATATATTTATTTTTATATTTCTTTGCAGAGGACATTAAAAGTAAAAACGCTGGCTATAATTTGTTGACATTCTTCATTCTTTATAACAATCTGATACCGATATCTTTGCAAGTGACGCTGGAACTAGTGCGTTTTCTGCAGGTGAGAGTTTGAGTTTATTTTAGCTTTTTAAAATATTTTTTAAACAATTTTAACATTTTTATTTTCCATTTTCAGGCCATCTTCATCAATTTCGACATACACATGTACTATGCCGAGACCGATACACCCGCAATGGCGCGCACTTCGAATCTCAATGAGGAACTGGGCATGGTGAAGTACATATTCTCCGATAAGACTGGCACACTCACACGCAATGTTATGGTTTTCAAGAAGTGTTCGGTGGCGCGTTATATGTACGAACCGGGTAATACACCAGAGGAATCAACAATTGTACAGGTGCGTGCTTTATTTGGATTCAATAGCTTTCTAGCAACAATCTATGTATCACACACTCTTCCTCCCTCTCTCCGCTTAGAACTTACTCGGCAATCACAACACCGCGCATGTCATCAAAGAATTCCTCACGCTACTCGCCGTTTGTCACACTGTCATACCTGAGAAATTCGACGATGGCACCATTATCTATCACGCTGCCAGTCCTGATGAGCGTGCCATTATCGAAGGTGCACGCATGTTTGGCTACATCTTTGAATCACGCACTCCCCACTATGTTGAGATCAATGCGCTCGGCATGATTGAACGCTATGAAATACTCAATGTGCTCGAATTCACTTCGACACGCAAACGTATGTCGGTTATAGTGCGTACGCCCACTGGTGAGATCAAACTCTATTGCAAAGGCGCAGATACAGTGATCTATGAGCGACTCTCGCCCGATGGGCAGGTGTATCGCGACACCACGCTGCAACACTTGGAAGAATTTGCTTCGGAGGGCTTGCGTACACTTTGCTGTGCTGTGTCGGTGATACCCGAAGATGTGTACAATGAATGGAAGGAGACGTATCACAAAGCGTCAACAGCATTGCAGTATCGTGAGCGCAAAGTGGAAGATGCCTCCAATTTGATTGAGAACAATTTGGTGTTGTTGGGTGCAACAGCGATTGAGGACAAGCTGCAGGAGGGCGTGCCAGAGACGATAGCATCACTGCTAGACGCTGGCATTTATATATGGGTGCTGACGGGCGATAAGCAGGAGACAGCGATCAATATCGGATACTCATGCAAACTTATATCACACTCGATGGATATAATTATACTCAATGAGGGCAGCTTAGATGTAAGTGCTGGAATGTGTTTAGTATTGTAATTCAACTCTTTTTTTTTAAATTAAATTTTATTATATTGCGCAGGCCACCCGCGATATTATACACCGCCACGTGGACGAGCTGAAAAGCACAGATATGAAAGAGTGCAATGTAGCGCTTGTGATTGATGGTCAAACGTTGAAATATGCATTAAGCTGTGATTTGAAGCAAGAATTTTTGGAGCTCTGCTTGGTGTGCCGTGTGGTGATTTGCTGTCGCGTCTCGCCAATGCAAAAGGCAGAGGTATAAAGTCATTGTTTTATGCCCACTATTTTATGAAAGTCTTTACAATATCTCGCCCCTTTTCCACTCGCCCAACAGATTGTCGAATGCGTTACGCAGGCCACTGGCGCTGTCACGCTCGCCATTGGTGATGGCGCTAACGATGTAGCCATGATACAAAAGTCACATGTGGGCGTTGGCATTTCAGGCGTTGAAGGGCTGCAGGCAGCCTGCGCCTCCGACTATTCGATAGCACAATTTCGTTACTTGAAGCGTTTGCTGCTGGTGCATGGCGCTTGGAATTATAGTCGCATCACAAAATTGATACTCTATAGTTTCTACAAGAATGTATGCTTGTATGTGATTGAGCTCTGGTTTGCCATTTATTCCGGTTGGTCGGGACAAATTCTATTCGAACGTTGGACCATTGGCTTATATAATGTTATGTTTACCGCTTTGCCGCCATTCGCTTTGGGACTTTTCGATAAAGTTTGTTCGGCGGATACGATGTTGAAATATCCGCAATTGTATAAACCATCACAGGATGCCAAACTCTTTAATGTCAAGGTGTTTTGGGTATGGATACTTAATGCGCTGTCGCATTCTGTGTGGCTCTTTTGGCTGCCGATGCTAATGACGCGTGAATCGGTGTGGTCCGATGGCAAGACGAGCGACTACCTGGTGCTGGGAAACATTGTGTACACGGTGAGTGTGGTTGGGAAAGGGATGAAGTGAAACGAGCGGAAATTACATTTGCGGAGCTGTCGTGTTCTGAAGTTTAGGCGCCATATGAAATTACTAAAATAGCTTGTCATCTCTAATTGATTTTAAATTGCAGTTCATTTTATTTTTAGATATTCAGAAATGGTCACTAGAGTGGTCCAAAAATGCATGTGAAAAAATAAGATCGGAATTTTAATGCCGCCACCCTCTAAGATGGTTCTATACCGAAAAAAATATACTCAGTTTTCTATGTATTTTAAATGGGGAAAAAGCAATTTTTCTTAGAAAACTAGGACTTTTATTATTCCGATCAAACTTAAGTTCTCTTAATATCTTAATTTTCTTCGTCAAAAACAGTCGCTATTTTTAAATTTTAGTTTTTTCAATAAATCTAAAAGTAAAATCCAAAGTTACGATTATTTTTGAGCGAAAAAATCACAAAATAACGTTACAATTTGGCCGAAAATAAAAATCCTAGTTTAGCGATTATTCATGATAGAAAAAATTTAAAAACAACGATTTTGCAATGATCTAAAAATTAAAATCCTGAGATTTAAAGGTTATTTTTGGCTTCTGCAAACAATTATATTGTTTTTTTTTGTAATACCACCTGTTTCCTTATTTAGTAACAAATTCTATAAATTTTTCTTTCTAAACTCATCAGTATGTCGTCGTCACTGTTTGCCTAAAAGCCGGCCTAATTACCAACTCGTGGACATGGATGACGCACGCTTCAATTTGGGGTTCTATCGTTATGTGGTTCATTTTCATGGCAATCTATAGTAATTTCTGGCCCACCATAATGTTGGCACCAATCTTCTTGGGCATGGATCGTATGGTATTCTCTACATTCGTTTTTTGGCTGGGTCTTTTGCTCATCCCCATAACGACGCTATTGCCCGATGTGCTGTTTACAATGTGAGTTGAATATGTGGATTATTTGTATAGGCATTTTTTTTAAAAAAAATTTGTTATTATTTTAAACAGAGTACATAATACTGTATTCAAGTCACTCACAGAGGCCGTTCGAGAATCAGAGATACGTCGCTATGATCCTGAAAATGTGATACGAGAATCGAAGACATCGTAAGTAGTGAAGGAAGGAAAAATATAGTATTTACATGTATATTGGTTGAAAAAATTATCTTTTTGGAAGTAAATGTGTGGCTTACGACAGTTTTGAGCAAAAGAAAGTCGTAAATTTAAAGCTAAAGTTATCAAATGCTGCTCAAAACATTTAATTAATGCCAAAATTTGGTTTGGACTTAATGTAAATTTTCAAAATAATTTTGGCTTTTTAAGTATGAACAAACATACTGATGATGACACAACGCCGAAATGGGTTTGGTTCCAAACTAAATTTTCGATTCTCAAAAAAAATTTTTTGATAGTCGTTTTTTTCTGCGTGTTATATTTATTGAATACATATAAAAAGTTCATTTTTACTACTCTGAACATATATAGATTTTTACCAAATTTCAGATTTTTGGTTATTTCATGTACATTGTAGTACATATTGCATATAGAGTATTTTCACAGTAACTAATTTGCAGTTTAATACAACTCTTTTGCTCCAATAGGTAATTGTGAGCCACACATTTCCTCTCAACAGCATTTCCGCAACCGGAAATTTTTTGCTTTTTGTTGGTTTAGTTTTCCAAACCTCACTAAAACTTTAATTTTGAATTGTTGCGCATACTAGTTGAAACACTGTTTTTTTTAACCCGGAACCCCCAACAATTTAATAAAAAATTTTATAGATATTTATAAGTGAAAACAACAGCTGGACATTTTAATTAACAAACAAAAATAGTGTCACATTTTTTGTTTTTTTGTGGAAATTGTAGGCGCAAAATAGCTTTTTTCTTCAAATAACAAATATTTGCTAGTACTGTTTTTGTTTAAGTTTGTCCTTTACTACCTAAACACAATAACTGTAGAGTAAGAATTATTAATTTACTACCTCACCCAGCATTTGTTCCACAAAACGTTTAAATTTAAAAAGATGTACAGGTGCAAAATTTAAGTTAAATTTCCCTGCTAGTTAAAATCTTGTTATAGTTGTAATGTGATTTTAGATTTGTTTTTCTGTACAGCGTTTTTCCCCCCTAACGAAATTGTGTTTGTTGTATTTTTTGTTATATGTATATATTGTTCTATGCTTGCTTTGATTTTGTTATTTATCAGATATGCATTTTACTACTTTTTAAGATTATAAAAAAAATTCTATTGGTGAATTTGTTTTGTTATTTGTTTGTTGTTAAAATAGTTGCAATTTTTTTCCTACCACCGCTTAGTTGCTTTTTACTTTTTAGACAATTACCGTTATTGCAATGTAATGGACTTCGCTCGCTTTCTCTATATATATATATTTTTGATAATTTTTAAGTGCAATAGTTCATTTCCACCAAGCCTTAACTGCAGTTTACGCTTAGTTGAAAAAGCAGATTACAACTCGATGGGGTAAGAAGGAAAAGTAAGAGCTCAACTAGCCACAGACGAAAAATCGTAGACCGCGTCAGCTGACAAGACCTATCTTACGGAATTTTCGCGTTAGCGAAAACTAACTACCGCATGACGGAGACGTTGCCGTTGTTTCTCTCTCTCTCTCTCTCTATCAACAGCAATTTGATATGTTGATACGGTCGACAGGTATGGAAGGGCGCTCCATTGGTAGCTGATATGTACATATAAATCTTACCGATCACCCCAAGTTAAAATTCTTGGAGGCTTATTAGCTGCAGTTAATCGTTTGGTGGAAATGGGCTATAGTTTTGTTGTGTTTACCTATTTCATGTGCAGAGGAAAGGGAAAATTGCCAATATTTTAATTTATTGAAAGAACTTATGGTGAGCATACATATTTGAGTTCACAAAATGGATCAAAAAAATATAAAAAGTAAAAAGATTCAAAAATCAAATAAAATTTAAATAAAGAAATAAAGTTAAATAATAAAGTAAAACAAAATATAAAATTAGTAAAAACTAAATTAAATAAACTAAGATGAAAAAAATAAAAATAATTAAAATTAAAAATTATTAAAGAAAAGGCAAAAATTTATCAAAATAAAATACAAAAGAAGTTACTACTAAAGAAAAAGAAAATAACAATAACATAACAAATTTATTGAAATTAAAAATAAATAAAGAAAAATAAAAATATAATAATCTTGCGACAATTTAAAAAAAAAAAAAAATATTTTTTTAAACAAATTTTTTTGCAAAAACTTCAGAAAATTAAAAAAATATATATTTACGGAGAATACACTTATGTACACACTCCTGTGAATTAATAAAAGTGCAGATGCTTGATTGATTGTGCATTAAATATAATATTCATACATTTTATTTAAGGGTCACTATTTTTTAGAGATTAATAAGTATGTATGTATGGACGTTGTTTAAAAATACAAATTTTAAATGTGCAAAGCTTATTAAATAAAAACTAATTTAGTATTGTTCAAATAAAAATATGTATAAAAAAATTAGAATTAAAAAAAAGTATTTTATAAAAACTTTGTGTACATACTAACATTGGATTTCTAGTTGATATCATTAATAGAGTAAAACAATGTACATTTTTATTAAAATTTTTTTATTTCACATAATACAACACACATTTACCACTAAAACAACAATGCTTATAACAAATGCCGTTAACATATTTTCAAACTTATCTACATATGAGAAAATATCTAATGTTATAGGAAGTTTCCACGCCGCCCAAATTACGCCATTTCAACTCAGAATTTCAATTTGGAATTATTTGGTTTTGTTTTTCTTTTCTTTTCGTTGAAGTTTGTTGCTTCTTCTTTTTTAGTCATTTATCGTTCACAAAAAGTTAAGGGTTGAATTCGCATTCTTGAGGCCATTTCGTCTAAGTTTCACTAAAATAGAGAATCATTTGCAAGTTCGGCTGACAAGCTTTTGTCAAAGCTATTCATTTCCCCTTCCTTCATTTCGCCGGGATTGAAGGCAAGGTTATTTATTACGTTCCTCTTAGTGTTGCAAATAATGTTCATGTAATGAAAGTTCAAATAGTTTTAAGTAATATAAATCATTTAGAAACCTTATTGTTTATGATATTTTGCCACTTATGAAATTACTGACAGGCATAGCAAATAATAGTTTATTAAATAGTTAATTGTTCAGATTATAAAACACAAAAATGCTTATACCGAATTTCCACCGGGCATTAAATGGCACAAATTTTTACCACAAAGTTGGGCATGACTTTAACAATGAATATCGCTAACCCTGTTCTCACAGGGAATTTATTTAACGTAGTAAAGACCAAACAATACTTCGCATAAGAAGCTTTGTAAAGCTTTCTATAAATTTTGTGCGAATACCGACAGAGCAAATGCGTCTTTGGTTGATTTAGTTTAATCGTCACGAATTTAATTTATACATTTTTTCTTTTGCCTTTTAAATGCCTAGTGGAAATTAGGAATTTCATTTTACACAATTCGTTAAATTGGCAAAGGTTACTTAGATATGTGGCTAACCTTTAGTGTTCACGTTTTATAGTTAAATATTTATCTATTTTGTAATCCTATTCATACTTACCTTAAAAGCACGAGCTATCAATCAATGTTCTTTCCAAGTCAACGCAGCTATTTGTCACTTCGCCCAGTTGATGTCTAATTAAAATCCGCTGCAAGAACTAGGACAATTGGAATTGCTGCACAGAAATTTTCCTACTTCTTTTATGTTTTATTTCATGTTATTTATAATATTATTTAGAAAAAATATATGTGTGCCGTAAAGTTTATTTATTACCAAAATATATGTAAAAACAATAATTTTAATGATCTATTGGAATTGTAATAAATGTTTTGTTTACCAATCGGCGTATGAAATTAGGAATAATAAGGCGGGTGCCAATAAAATACTTGACCTAAACGTTTTCGAAACGTAAGAACTGCGATTGCGGATAAATTTCGACTGTTTCTCATCCGTTCGCTGATTTAATTCTGCTTGTTTTACGCACACATTTGCCCAGGAAAGTTGTAGCAAAAACGTATGCTAAACAAATAAATGCGCTTTCTGATGTTTTTCTGATTCAATTACTCTAAGTATTATACAATAAAGTCGGCTCTGAGTTCATTCTAGGTTATCTAGGTGAAACAATTAAAACCTCAATGTACGCAAGAAACTTAATTTCATATGTTGTAAAATTAACTCAAAATGGACCTTGAAATACTAGAATGCATTCTATTTCATTCTTAATTAACTAAAAAGTACTCAATCTTCAATATTCAGTACGAAAAGTTTTTCAAAATAATTTTTTGTTGTTAATAGAGACTGTTTTGTTAGATAATGTTTTTAGATGAGAGGTTTTGCCAAAGTGCCGTCGATATGTTACTTGCAAAAGTATAAGGTACAGTAAAGTTAGGCTAAAAGGTCCGCCTATTATCTTCTAATTTTAATTAATGATCATGAGTGACGGTTCATTTATTTGTTCTTTAATACATTATTTTTAAGTAGTAACTATTATTTAAATTTATTTTTTTAATCTTTGCAATACTTTACTGATCGCTGTTAGAGGCTGGATTTTTTTTAATATATTGGTTTGCTTTTTTTACCATTCTTTACACAAAATTACAAAATAGCTGCCAAAGGACAAATTTTTATAATTATAGCTTTGTAATATACACCTACGGTCGAAATAATAGAAACTCAACAATTCGACCAGTTTTTACCTTTTTCATTTAGTTAACCATATAAATCCTAATTTCAAACTATATACAAAAATTTAGAAAATTCAGCAACAAAAAAATCATAAAAATTTCAAGCTTTTCAATTAGAGAATTGTTTATAAAAAACCAATGAACATAAGCAAAAAAGAACATAAGAGAAAAAGTCAAAACTGGAAAAATGGTGGTTTTCTATTACTTTGACCGTAGGTGTACATTAAAACACTAGTAACACTTTTAAAACAACTTAGAGCACGAGAAAATTCTTGCTTCAATATAAAAAATTTATATAAAATGCATTAACAAATATCTACTTGGACTTTGTGCTAAATGGAAAATAAGAACAAACACAATTTTGTTAAGAAAAATAAGTTCGAAAAAGCCTGAA